TATATATAATATATATATATATATATACATATATATATATATATATATATATATATATATATATATATATATATATATATATATATATATATATATATATATGTAAGTGATAAGCAATTTTAGTATAGACTTGAACCACCATTTTATTCTTTACTACTGCTATATTAGTCTATGGGTTGCGTCATCAATTTTACTTAGGCATATACTACGTCACCAATTACGCGTGAACATAGTTAACGTCATCAATTATTTTTGGACGTATTATATAAAATATTATGGTACTATATTTTGCTAAAATAAAAAATCATATTTCTTAATTTGAAAAACAAAAAATAAATTTCAAGGTGCCAATAGAGGAAAAGTGTATTTACTATGGTTAGTATTGGTTAAGGATAGAGCACCACAGGTTAGAGTGTATATACTTTAATCGAAAGTTTAATTGTATATATTTTGAATTGTTTATTATTTGAGTTCACAAAATCAGATGAACTCCCAATTAAAGTACACAGTTCGTTGTCCTATATACTAATGCAATATGATTTGTATATATTACGTTTTTTTATCAATTAATAAGTGTTGTAAAGTTAATTAGTTTAATTTATATTATTTGGGAATATTTACATTGTATACAAAACAAAAATGTTGTCTATATTTACACCCTTTTAATATTTATGTATAAAGAATTGATTTTCCAAATAATGTACATTGTTTGTCGCCAAATGGAATAAGGCTATTTATAAGTAATATTTCAATGTCATGCAATGTAATTATTCTTGTCACATCTGTACTAACACAATTGACAATAAAGTTGTCTTATCATTACCATTTTACCCATCGATAATCGCACTGTGAACTATGCCTGAATTATGTACAAGGTATTAATGTATAATGTTATACTGGGTGAACAGAAAGGAAGTAACGTTAAAGCGAGGGAGGCGTCACCTGCGCATGCGTCAGATGGCCGTAGCGTGTCATTGTTTACAAACAATCGTCTACCCGTGAGCCTTTGCGTTTTTAGCGTGTGTTGTTATCGCGTCGCTTGGGACTCGATTCGCGTGCGCAGGTGACGACCCTCCCGCTTTAAATATACACGGACACTTTACGTAGCAAGTTTATTCTTGTGGCAATATGCAGTGTAGTGATTTTAGGGAGACGTCTGTTTTATAATTTTTGCTGCTTGACAAAACTTCCACAGTTCGCAAATGGAAACAGACATGAAGCTAACAATCGGGGGAACAAGAAATGTTTATAATAACCGAATGTATACATTTTCACCCATGTTCTCTTACGTTTGATGATGGTAACGCCGGAGGCGGTAGCAGTTTCTATGTGAATCTAGGGTTAGAGCCAATGAACGTAACAAGCTTAGAATGAAAGTATTTGGAGATGTCTCTAAACGTACAGCTGTAAAGATAACTCACGTGACATAATTACACCAGCCACGTAACTCGTAGTGTTTAGCCGGTCCACGTATTTATGAATAATTACCAGTAATACCACGTCGTATGATAATACATACATTGTGTTGTTTAATACATAGGTGTAATACGTAATATAAATATTCTTTTACAGTAAATGTTTTTTGAGAGAAATAATTAACAAATTCAGACAATGCAATGCAATGGTTGTCATTTTACGGAGTAGATTCGAAGCTAGGTGCAAGATTGTGTCTTGATCAATTCAAAAATCACTTTGATTTCACCAAAATTGTTCAACACTCATCTATCCATCTTTCACATGCTGCAGGGTAATATTTTATTTAGTAGGCACGCCTCCACGTATTGTGGTATCGAGTGATACGATCTATTATCTACTATTGTACACACAATTATACATGACCATTGAACCAAATTATAAAAAAGGACAGGACAATTTGTCAGATTGCAGTCATGATATTAAAACCTGGGTGCATAAAAATTAGTTAAATTTAATTGCTCACGAAACCGAATTAACCACAAAAATAGTTGTAAATACATAATAAAGCGGGAGGGTCGTCACCTTTACACGCGCGGGAATTGAGTCCCAAGCGACGACAACAACACACGCTAAAATGTAAAGGCTCATGGGTAGACGCTTGTTTGTAAGTAATGACACGCTATGGCCATCTGACGCATGCGCAGGTGACGACTCCCGCTTTAATAATTGTACATTAGTTTCCGTGAACGAAACGTTGGTGCCAATGAGATGACTATGGGAGAAACGTCATTTTATCATCTTCAAAGCATGTCATGAATTAAGAAATGTTGGTCCACGCCCTCACCAGTTTGTGATTACTGTATTGTCTGATGCACGAGACATGGTGTTGATTTCTAAATTTCAGAATGTTGTTTCTCGGTCTATCGTCTGCTGTACGAAATATGACGACTCCACACAGGCCAACACATTGGTTGACTTTTAAATTCAAAGTTCGTTTTTGGTTATAACAAACTTGAATTTTGCAACTTGTGGTAGTAGTAGGGTGTCCACGGGTATGAAATGGCGGCCCACGTGCTCTCAAACACAGTACAAATTATTATTATCACTCTTATTCTTATGTTAATTTATTTTATTCTGCTATGTCATTCGCTCTTGATCAGGCTTATCTGTAAATCACATATTCAAACTCTGCAAAAGAAATATGTATTTTGAAAGCACTGAATAAATCTGAATAGTGACACGTTCATGGTTAACGTTTTGACTGGACGAATCTCTATGCCAATTAACGAGTTTGGGCTAACCTGAACTATTTAACTATTTCCGTACTGTAGTGTACTTATCACACAAATAATGAAAATGTGAAGATATATAGATATATATATATATATATATATATATATATATATATATATATATATATATATATATATATATATATATATATATA